ACTGGTCCATTTTCAACAGTACAAAAGTACTCTCGCCATGATACAATTAATCAAAGAGACACAGACCTACAATAACACAACTATATCAGAAACAATGGTGCCATGGCACTGTAGTTCACGGAAACGTGCTTAGCGCAACGAGAGAGGTCAAAACAAAACACACAGCCAAATCCGTAACATGATATGCATGCGTTACGCATTGCTATTTAACAAATTCCAGCTGAATCGGTGCGAAAATGAGCCACTAATGAGACAAGATGGCAATTTTATAATGAAGGTAAAATGCGATGCACAGCAAAACCCGCACTATATTTGTTGATTCTTACTATTCAGTACCTACATAGTAAATTTCAGCTGAATTGCTGCAGAAATGAGTCACAAATCAGTCAAAATGGCATTTTCAATATGGCCATATGCATATTGCAAGAAGATATATAAAAATGTTCAGCTTCATCACTCAAGTAGATAGTAGTTTCAGAGAACATGTTTTAAAGATATAACTGAAATTAAAGGCCGTGTCGAATAACAGGTCAAACAGAGGTAAAATAGCGAAGTAAAGCAAATGTGTTGAGTTTGCTATCTGGCACTGATATATCAACTTTCAGCTGATTCTGTGCAGAAATTGGGGACTAAAGAGCGAAAATGGCATTTTCAGTATATGGCGGCTGTAGTCGCCATATCTGAAATTGGATCGGAATGCCTCTAACAACCTTTGGTGTCCTCTTGGTTTGGATCATGTATGTCAAGTTTCAGCCTCATCGAATAAGTAATGTCGGAAATGATGTTTACAGATGTCGCACGACGACGGACATACAGCCAACGACATAAGCTCTTCTGAAGTTTGTCCAGGTGAGCTAAAATGTGTCTATGTTCACCAACCAACCAGTGTGCGAAATAGTTTCCAAATTGTACTTACCAGTCGGGCAAGCTATGCCTGAAAGTTTCTAGCCCACAAAATATATCACTAGCCCGAAATTTGAATGTAGACACGAGTTTCATCATTAAGCTGCCAATATGATGAACATTTTTATCAGGCCATAATCTTGCATGATTTAAAAGTATATTATAAGTTAACATGTCGGAGAGAATTATATGTTTTCAAAATCACCCCATGAAAGTTCACTTACCAGTCGGCCCAGTGACTGTGGAGATTTACTGGCCTGACTGGAATTTTACTAGCCACGGACTAGCGGACCAGTGGCTACTTCGCACATTGCATCAAACCACAGATGTCCGGTACGTTGCATACGCGTATATATCTTAACATATGTATCTTACTTGACAGTGTAGAAACAGCGAGGGTCATTATTCAACGAGGGTATCTTTTCAATACGTGATCCGGGTTTATTTTCAATAGCAGCCGGGTAAATATTCAATGTTGAAAAAAGACCCCGGGCGTTGAAAAGTGAGTCCGGGTAATAATTCAATGTTGAAAAAGTACCCGCCGGGTACCTTTTCAACGCGGGTATGTTTTCAATCTTACACCGGCATTGAGCTGGAAAATATATCTCCTTCCCGTCTTCTTTCTTCTCCTCCTTGGCAACTGGTGAGGCCCGAAGTTGACCTAACTCTGACAAAGTTTAAGAAATCTGAAACTAATGAATTACAATATAAACAAGAATATAATCAATTAAAAATAAATATAATACATACAAATCCTTATTTACAGATGGGTCCAAGGATGGTGGCGCGGTGGCATGTGCCACTGTCATTGGATCCCGAACAATATCTTCTCGACTACCAAATAACAGCTCTATTTTCACAGCAGAAGCTAACGCCATATTAACAGCTCTTAAATATATTAATAAACACCGTAAATATAACAATACATAATCTTTTCCGATTCTCTTTCGTGTCTTCGGGCTATTAAAAATCTTTCTTGTAAACATCCACTTTTATTAGAAATTATTGAATTGTATAATAAGCTTGCTGGCCAATGCGACATCGTCTTTTGTTGGTTACCCAGCCACGTTGGCATTTCTAGGAATACAATGGCTGATCTTGCTGCCATTTCCCAAGGGAAGAGGGCTTACTTTTCAATAATGCCCACGGGTCATGTTATATCCAACTTATAAACCGACTGAAGATATACTTTAGATATGATTTCGATATTTGGTACTTACTGTTGAAATCAACTGGGATGAGACTGGCAGCCGACGCCTCGCAATGCACGTGCTCTGCACGCGCTACCCGTGCGCTGCCCGCACTACCCGTCTTGCGAGGAACACACGGTTCATACCGACAAACAATCTCAGTCTTTATAGCGATCCTTCGTGGCGTAGTGGATAAAACCGTCAAGCTAGTTAGCGAAGGGTTGCGGGTTCGAAACCGGGTGTCGGCACTTCATGTTGGAAATTGTCAATAATATCATATTTTAAGATCGCATTCAGTGATGGCAAGACAAAGTCGTATCAGTTTTCAAAACAAGTAGTAATACAAGGTGAAGGGCTATTCCTCAGAAAATCCCGGGGGCAGAGGGAGGGTATTAAGACAATGCCCGGGTCACAGGGAGGTTATTAAGATAATTGCCCGGGACAGAGGGACATTATTTAGATAATTGCCCGAGGAAGTGAGATTGTATCAGATTTGAGGGATATTACGAGAAATAGTGTCCCCTAAGAACAATAGAGTGATGTCACTGTCGGTTTATAAGACTCTTTAAAGTGGTACTTAGCTAGATATAACTATATTCATTGGATGTAAAGAGAATCTAGGATTCATCTGTGAGACTTCAAGATACATGTGGTTTAAGTTGTTTTTGACAGCCCGGTCAAGTCGGACCGATCAGTGACTAAACACTTTTGATTAAGGCTATGTTGGGGATGGAGAGGGACAAGGGCTTCACTTTAACGACCCAGTTTTCTTTGTAACATCACAATGTGGCATTTAGGTAGATATAATACTGATCTATGGATTTAAACACATTTCAAGATACATGTGTGAGGTTTAAGTTGCTTTTGACAGCCCGGGCCAAGTCGGGTCGAACAGACTGAACACTTTTGATTGAGGCTATTTTGAGGGTGGGCAGACAAGGGCTTCACTTTAACGGACCAGTTATCTTTACATGTGACATTTTGTAACATCACAATGTGATATAAGAGGCCATATAGATCTATTATATGGTCTCTGGTGATATGTAGGTAGATATAACACTAATCTAAGCACCTTTGAGGTGTTAGGTGCTTTTGACGACCCGAGCCAAGCCGGACCGAACGCTTGTGACACTGTGTGTTTGTTGAGAATATATAGACAAGAGGGCTTCACTTCGAGCAACGTGTTTGCTTGAAATACTACGTTTTGCGGCTCTATAAAGAAGTATTTAGGTAGATATAATATCATTTTGCCTTTCTTGTGTACTAGTAAATTTAAGCATATGCATACGCGCTGGCTATTGGATTTGGACTGGTGTTGTTTACGTTTTAGAATACAATGAAAACACATAAAAAATTTTTGTGTGTGAATGTATACTTTCTTTGATCCTTTATAACATATTACAAAAGGTTGTGATTTAATATATTTCTTTTAACATATATAATCATGTCATAATTTCCCATTGACACTCGCAATTGAATAATGCGCCTATAGACATACCAGTACAGAGTGATGACATGCCGGCACTGAGTGATGCACCTATAGACATAACAGAACAGACTGATGCGCCTACAGAAGTGCCAGAACAGACGGACGCCCCTATAGACATAACAGAACAGACTGATGCGCCTACAGAAGTGCCAGAACAGACTGACGCACCTATAGACATATCAGTACAGACTGATGCGCCTACAGAAATGCCAAAAACAGATTGATGCGCCCATAGACATACCAGTGCAGACTGATGCGCCTACAGAAATGCCAGAACAGATTGATGCGCCTATAGACATAACAGAACTGACTGATGCGCCTACAGTGCCAGAAAGCACCTGCCAGATCACAGACTGACGCACCTATGATGCGCCCATAGACATACCCAGAACAGAGATGCATATCAGAACAGACTGATGCGCCTACAGAAATGCCAAAAACAGATTGATGCGCCCATAGACATACCAGAACAGACTGATGCGCCTACAGAAATGCCAGAACAGATTGATGCGCCTATAGACATACCAGAACAGACTGATGCGCCTACAGAAATGCCAGAACAGATTGATGCGCCTATAGACATAACAGAACAGACTAATGCGCCTACAGAAATGCCAGAACAGACTGACGCACCTATAGACATATCAGAACAGACTAATGCGCCTACAGAAATGCCAGAACAGATTGATGCGCCCATACACATACCAGAACAGACTGATGCGCCTACAGAAATGCCAGAACAGATTGATGCGCCTATACACATACCAGAACAGACTAATGCGCCTACAGAAATGCCAGAACAGATTGATGCGCCTATACACATACCAGAACAGACTAATGCGCCTACAGAAATGCCAGAACAGATTGATGCGCCTATACCAGAACACAAACCAGAACATAGTACAGACTGATGCGCCTACAGAAATGCCAGAACAGATTGATGCGACTATACAGAAATGCCAGAACAGACTGATGCGCCTACAGACTAATTGCCTACAGAACAGACTGACTAATGATGCGCCTATACAGACATACCAGAACAGACTAATGCGCCTACAGAAATGCCAGAACAGATTTGATGCGCCCAGAACAGACTAATGCGCCCAGAACAAATTGACTATATGCATACCTACAGAAATGCCTACAGAATGCCAGAACAGACTGATGCGCCTATAGACATACCAGAACAGACTGATGCGCCTACAGAAATGCCAGAACAGATTGATGCGCCTATACACATACCAGAACAGACTAATGCGCCTACAGAAATGCCAGAACAGATTGATGCGCCTATAGACATACCAGAACAGACTAATGCGCCTACAGAAATGCCAGAACAGACTGACGCACCTATAGACATACCAGTACAGACTGACGCACCTATAGACATACCAGTACAGATTGATGCGCCTACAGGAATGCCAGAACAGACTGACGCACCTATACACATACCAGAACAGACTAATGCGCCTACAGAAATGCCAGAACAGATTGACGCGCCTATAGACATACCAGAACAGACTGATGCGCCTACAGAAATGCCAGAACAGATTGATGCGCCTATACACATGCCAGAACAGACTAATGCGCCTACAGAAATGCCAGAACAGATTGATGCGCCTATACACATACCAGAACAGACTAATGCGCCTACAGAAATGCCAGAACAGATTGATGCGCCTATACACATACCAGTACAGACTGATGCGCCTACAGAAATGCCAGAACAGACTGACGCACCTATAGACATAACAGTACAGACTGATGCGCCTACAGAAGTGCCAGAACAGATTGATGCGCCTATACACATACCAGAACAGACTAAGGCGCCTACAGAAATGCCAGAACAGATTGATGCGCCCATAGACATACCAGTGCAGACTGATGCGCCTACAGAAATGCCAGAACAGACTGACGCACCTATAGACATAACAGTACAGCCTGATGCGCCTACAGAAGTGCCCGAACAGATTGATGCGCCTATACACATACCAGAACAGACTAATGCGCCTACAGAAATGCCAGAACAGATTGATGCGCCTATACACATACCAGAACAGACTAATGCGCCAGTAGGCATACCAGAACAGACTGATGATTGACAACAAGTTCACACGACCACCATCTTTTTCTGCCGTGGGCATATTTCTTCAAGTCCATCCCATCGGTGAACTGTATTGGGACGACAATATATGGGTCCTTCCTTCTGGCCATTCTTCTAACAGTGTCCCACTGGCTTGGTACATAGATACTGGTCTTCTTTTTTACAAATTCAATGGTGGAATGAATTGCATCGCACTCCATCTGTGTGTGGCCTGGCTCTAGATTTGTACTAATGTTCAATAGTGGACACACATAGGGAGGCTGCGACATACTGGTTTCTGTTCTGTCCTGAACACAGAAGTACATGCTTGACGGTTGGTGGTAAAGCCTTCAGCTGAATTTGCAGACATGATGCAACTTCACATGATCCTCTCTGGGCATCTACTTCCGACCATACAAAGCGTGTACCTCCTTTCGTGGCTAAATCGTACACAGTAACAGTTCAATTTCTTCATGTAGAAACGTTCACTGACAAGTGAGCATGGTGTATATAATGCAGCCTGCAGATCACATGTTGCCACAAAAATGGATTTGTCCATCAGAGCAAGGGCTTTGTCCGTTATCCTTTCTTCACGGGCTCTCATTTTTTCTCTCTTGGTGTTGGGTGTACTCCTTTCAAGTTCTTGCTGAACTGACCCACTCTTCTTTTCCTTGTAGTACATCTGGCACAATGAACACTGATCCTTCTTTGGTACGTGAAAAGAAAAGTTAAACTCCTCGGTGAACACCTTCCTGTAAAGTGATGATGGCATTGCTTTGGTAGCATCACTGGTGCATTTGTCATTGTACAGTTCGTACATTTTTTACAACAGCTTTCTGTTCGTATCTCGACGGGTGTAGTGAGCATCGACTGTTGGGATTGATTCTATGTGCTCTCGAACCAGTTTTAGTGTATCGGTGGCAGTCTTGTTATGTGGCTCGTGGTGTCCCCTCTTTTCATTCCCAGCAAATATGCCTTGGTTCTTATTTCGTAGAGCATGATTGATCTAGGATTCACCAACATCCAAAGATTTTTCTGAAAAATGTTTTACAGACATTTTTTCTGTACAACATTTTCTTCTTCATCCAAGTATGTGCGAGTCTTCTTTTCTGTTGTGTTTGAGCAAACGAATACTTTCTGTCTTGTGTATGAGGATAAGTTCCAAAAGGTTTTAAAAATACTTTGGCGGGTTCCTTCAGAGATGTTTGCAGAACATTTGTACCTACAGTTAGAACAGTCGACTGCTTGTACAGATCTAGCTCACATAATTTCTCTTCCTGATTCATATATTCTTGTCCAGACAGTCTTAAGTCCTTACTTTTATTTTTAATCCAGGTTTCAGGAGTTGCCCGACGTTTCCTGAATAATGTCTTCTTTGTAGGCGTGTTGAAAGCTGCTGACTTTCTTGGTGTCCATGTATGTCTACAGGTGCATCAGTCTGTTCGGGTATGTCTATAGGTGCATCACTCAGTGCCGGTATGTCTACAGGTGCATCAGTCTGTTCGGGTATGTCTATAGGTGCATCACTTAGTGCCGGGATGTCTATAGGGGCATCAGTCTGTTCTGGTGTGTGTGTCTGTAGGTGCATCACTCAGTGCCGATATGTCTATGGGCGCATTACTCTGTAATAATGTGCCTACAGGTGCACCGCTCTGTACTATAGGGTCATCACTCTGTACTGGTATGTCTGCAGGTGCATCACTCTGTACTGGCGTGTCAACCTGTTGTGGTAAATACCTGGACGTAGAATCTATTTTCCTGTGTAAATCAAGAGGCACATAACGCTGTATTGATACAAACTGGGTTTGATTATCCTCAGTGATATGACCCGGTGCTAGTATATCCATTGACTCATCCTCTTCATCATTTGCGTCCTACTGTATTGGTATATCCGATGGTGTATCAGATTGTGCTGGGGTATCCAGGAACACCCCACATGGGTTTTGTAGATGTGGCAAAGTTGGGGCGGTGGGGTAGCCTAGTGGTTAAAGCGTTGGCTCGTCACGCCGAAGACCCGGGTTCGATTCCCCACATGGGCACAATGTATTAAGCCCATTTCTGGTGTCCCCCGCCGTGATATTGCTGGAATATTGCTAAGAGCGGCGTAAAACTAAACTCAGTCAGTCAGTCAGTGTGGCAAAGTCAGAATGAAATAATTCATCTTCATCTGCGTCGGACCATAATTCAGTCATCTTGTATACACCTAAAACCAGATTTGATTATAATAACACTCAATAATTTAATCAATTTAGCTTCAATTTAAATAGTGCTGGCAAATAACGTTTATACTGACAACAAATCTCGTAAGTGAAATACAAGTATATTACCACACTCATGTGTGTTATATTTAAGAGTTATTTAACAAGTACTTATTTACTATTTACAGATATGACTTACCTGTAATGTTTCAGTGGGATTTCCGTACTGTAAACCTTCCGAATACAAACACACTTTGGAAAAATAGCTCCTCTCCCAAGGGTCAAAATAAACTAACCATGGCTACAAAGTGTAGTGTGAAACAAACCCTGAAAACAGCTGTGACAGGCACGCTTATATATGGCCACAACAAAATAAGAGTAATTAAAACCATCTGACCCCGGAGAGAGGTCCTTATCAGCTATAAGTCTAAAGGGTTTGGTCCCGTAAGTGCGACCTTTGGATGGGTGTAAAAACAAACTGGTAGGTTTGCAGGGGTGTATCTCTAAGGCCCACTCGTTCTAGACAATGGGCAATCAATGTTTTAGGATTAATGTTAAAATGTTCACCGAAAATAAGTGGACAAGATTCAAGCAGTAAAATGTCATTTTTATTTAAACATTCATTGGGACGGTAATTTCTATTGTCTACATAATAGGTAATACACATAACATAATATATACATAAAAACGTTTATAGCACTAAAATAAGCAAATTTAAATAACATAGCATACAATAGCACTACAAAGTGACCATTTCCTTATGATTTAAATTATATAATACAAATCATGTATGGTGAAAGCAAAATATACAGGCAACACAGATATACCAGAACCTAGAATCACGAGCTCAACAACTTCACACAATAGTAGGCATTGTCCAGGTACTCCATTAATGTCAGGTCGTTATTTGCAAGCCTGAACTTCAAGTTATCTGGTCGTTCCTCCAAATCTCTGTACTTCTTCTTTTTGGGGGGCAGTCTTTGGCCAGCATTGTACTGAAGCATCTTTGCCTTGTTCAGTCCTTGTTCATCTGCCAAGAACTTGGCCATCCCGAAAAGGTTGGGATCTTGTTTTCCCACAACCTTCTTGAGACGGCCATGCCAACCCCCGATATTGTTGTTTGTGCGGTGACCGTCAGTATTTTTGGTACAGTCGAAAATATTCACCTTGACTTCGTTGTGTACAGGTCCGTGGTTGTAGTCTCCAGGTATCTGGGACATTATGTCGTTCACTGTTGAGACTGATATGCAGTCTTTCTGAATGCATCTCCATGAGATGCATTCTCCCCTTTTCTTCTTGTTCACAATAAACATATAACCATTTACATGTATGTATGTTCCACCACGAGAAGTAGGAAGAACCCTATTGTGCATTTGCCGTAACTGAAGTTTCGGCTGATGATAACTGTCAATTCCAACATTTTTATAGCTTGCAAGTTTATTTAAGAACTTTAATAACTCACTACATATGAACTGAGTGAACTAAACTCACTCACTAAACCCGCTGGTTCACAAGTCAACCCGCTGGTACAAATGTCATATTTCGTTTCCTGAGTGGACACATTTTACATTTTGTAGAAAACCAGTGTCTTAATTCCTTAAAACAACACCGTTTTTACAACATTAAACATCAACTAAATTTGACAGAATTTTTTACTTAAGGTGTTCTGGCACTAACCCCTCGACTAGTTGACTTAAATCAGTAGTAATGTTGAACATGAAATCAGTGATTAGAGATCAATAGCAGTACAACTGCATCACAAAAGGTTATTCCCCGTGGGCGACGTCGATTTTGTAGTTTTGTCGTAGATCATTCTTGTGTATTTCTGTACGACGTCGTTGTCGACGTAGTCTTTTTTATGCGACGTCGTTCTTTTTTTACGCGCCACGCGATGGCAATTACAGTACACCATACCTATGTGACTGCATTTCATAACTAGTACATACCAGTCATCTATGAAGATTACTGTCAAACGACTCTTGCTGTTTGAACAGGGTTGCAAGGTGTTTGGCAGGATTAGAGGTCTTAGTAAAGATAGAAACGTTAAATTTTAGAACATTAGCAAAGCTGAACCACGAGGGTCCGTGCAATTAAATGTTTTGACTTTTATCACGTAGACATTGGAAATCTTGATCTGCCTTTGCATGTATTTGTCACAGATGCCATCTGATGGGCCGAATATACACTCACCTTTCTGTGAATCCTTGGTATCATGACTACTTAAAGGTCACATGCAACGTAAAATACAACTTTGCAGATTCTGATACCTTTCGGTATGGACCTACCGAAACAAAGCGTCAAAAATGCAAATTCAACTTATAAAGTGGAAAAATAACGCGATGAAAAAAACCGCGTGAAATCGGAGTTCAAACGTTTCACTAATTTTCCCCAGACTTTTCTGGGGAATACGGGTTTCAACAGCTGGGCTGCGCTGACAGCACGTGCGCAGTGAAATAGGTTCGCGCAACTTGGAAGCGGGCTGTCTGGTGAATACTCGGTGAAGGCTTTGGTGTGAGCTATTTTCCTAATGTTTTGTTGATATCTCACAGGCGCGAGCTTTTTATATGTTATGACAGTAAATAAACTGTTTATATAATTTCATTTGTCTATTTCACCACACGTTCTTCTTACCGAGTGACTTTCTCAGTTCGATACTTAAAAGCAATGTCATTATTTAGCGTTGACACAATTTCTAACTGTGATATAGATATGTCGTTGTCACAGACAAAACTCAGTGTCTTGTTTTATTGACACCTGTGTGTCTGCCTGCCTGTCTGCTAATGATAATACTATTCAATACACAACTGCGATCACTGACCACATGCAATTTGAACTTAACACCAATCAGGCTATACACCATACACAAAACACATTGATTTATGGCCCGAGTTCGGTCTCTGTCACATTATGAAATTACACAGACAGGCAGGTGTGATACTTGAACACATGACATGTTATGATGTCTGTTGATTGCGAAATGTTATACACAAAAAATGAGCATGTATTTACAAAACCCAACATCTCTATATATACGCACACAATGAGCCGTGAAGGCGGTATCTGCTAATGAACCAGCCGTTACACTTGAGTGCACACCCACCCGCTCTGACTGGGTTCGGTATCCCGGCTGCTTCGTTTCGAGGGAGGTAAACCCAAGTACAAAATATTGCACTTTTGATTTGCGATTATACGCTTATAATTTTGTTTATTTGTTTTTTCATAATCAGCAATGCATATTATATGTCATGAAGAAGTGATAATTGTGTTTTAATTATGTTTGATTTTTTGGTTGCATGTGACCTTTAATAAACACATACTCATGCTATAGTATAGTTGTATATGTAGCCACACTCAATAATCAATACATGATACATGTCATCTGATCGTTTGGCGTTTGGGTAGCCTAGTTGTTAAAGCCCTCGCTCGTCATGCTGAGGACCCGGTTCGACTCCCCGAAGAGGAACATTATGTGAAGCCAGTTTCTGGTGTTGCCCCACCGTGAGATTGGTGGAATATCGCTAAAAGCGGCGTAAGACAATACTGAGTCAATTATCCCTAGGATATGCGTAGTTAGCAATTGAGGAGATAAATAGTTTCGTTGTTTAGTTTTCGGGATTCACTGTAATTCAACAACGCCGTCGGTTGTAAACTAAATTTGCCTGTGTTGAATTCCAGTGAATCCCGGAAATTGAACAAACAAAACTATTTATCGATATTGTAAACCAATTTTTAGTGAGAATCGTTTATCAAGTAACCCATTGACGCCGCGAGATCGTGTGTCGTAATGCGGTTAGCCTCTCCATCGTGAAGTCCGCTGTCGCCCCAGATGCGAGAAACACAAGACGGGTTACGCTATTATCTGATGGGGGAGCTAGGTCACGTCATGTTCGAAATAAATGTCAATATTATACAGAAGACAAAATGTATTCATGTTTTTTAATTAAACCTGATGAGTAAGATTTGACATGTGTTCATGTTAAACTTAATTACTGCAATACCACTGGAATAATGTTATAATGACAATGAAAGAATTCAATTTTATGCTACCTTCTCCCCCTCGTGTAAACATAGACTGGTCCAATCAAGGATGCCCACAACTTACGTGCCTACTGTTGATTAAAGAAGCTGACATATATGGTAGAATTATGTATGCCTTGAAACATTCCAATCACTGACACAATGGAAGAACTTTGCAAGTGTGAAGAGGGCCTAGATGATGTATAACTGCGAAATCAGTGATTCGTGTACGCGTGTGGAAACGTGGCATTCTTGGAGACGTTTTTCATCGACTTTGACAGTGAAGTTTTGTCAACACACTGTGAGGTGTACCAAACAGAATCGCGGATATGGACGACAGATTTTGGATGAAAGAAGGATTCATTATTGGGAGTCAGGCATGCTTTGTACAAATGGAGGAGGACGCAGATGGCGATTGGTGGCCGCCCGCAAGCAGACGAAGGTAGACTCTGAATACAGTCCGTCACGACCATTCCTCACTTAGCGCCTGAACGAAGATAGTGTTTGAAGTGCTTGAGCATCAAAATTCTCAAAGTCGGAAGGATAACCCCTCTCTTGGAGCCACTCTTCGAATAAAAATCTATCATTTTCTAACACATTTCTTACATTATAATCTTCTCAAAGAGAAAGTAAGATTGTAAGGTAAGAAATGTGTTAGAAAATCATAGATTTTTATCCATGCTGCAGTACAGTATCGATCGCTTGCAGGTGTGTATTAAATATTGGGCTAAAATATTTACGTAATCATTAACACGTTATTGCATAAGTTATCGTTAAAATGAATGTAAATTCGCATTTTCCGCCAATGCAGAATTTGGGTGGGTATGCTTCATTCATTTATGGTGGAGAAAACATTTTGTGAAAGATGTTTCGCCAGTCTAAACTATTCAGGGGAGGTAACTATCAATTTCTTTCTCTTTGTTTACAAATAACGAAACGGTTTACACCGCAGACTGTATATCTGTTGGTCGCCTTTGATCAAGACCCATCAATGATTTGTTGTAGGTCATCATCCTTGACCTTTGCAAAGCGAGAGCTGGTACCACTTTGGTCAGACGATGCCGATGGACGCTCGCTAGTCGAGGCCAGGGCCGGGTCTGGGATTTTGTCAGCGTTAGCCATGTTGTCAGCCTGAATGGATTATTACATCAGGTTCTTTGAGAAAGTCGAAACCTATTCCCAAGTAAAAATGATTGTTTTCAACAGTTGTCAGTACTTTTTAAATTGTATTTATTTGTCAATTCTCTGATTTTTTTATCAACACTGTCCTTCGTATGTTTCCATTATTAGAATAAATGTTTGCTAGACTGAGATTTTATGTCTCTTCAATCATTACTTTATAAAGCATATGAGCGTTCTGTTAGATAAACAAATAAAATACTAACCTTCATCAGTCATGAACCCCTCCAAAATTGCATCATCTCCAAAAATTTCATCAAAGGAACCAAGAAAAAAATCTGGATCACTCAAAATAGAGTTAGCCTCCATTATGCAAGTGAAAGCTGTGCATATACTTACGTATCATTGGGCTGTTATTCGGCTTTTGTAATTCGGGGAATCGAACTATGTTCGACGAGGTTTTTCCACCAATGAAATTGCAGAAAACACACCTTACTGGTTTACAACACACCATGAATGTTACCGAGTGCGGCGTTAAACAACAAAAAAGAAAACAAACCAAAGTTGGAACGCCGTAATGGAACTGGAACAGCGCCCGTTTCATTCGCCGTAGATGATCATTATCAATATATGACAACCAGCATGTGTCGACGTCTTTCATAAAGGTTTCATTGCTCCAGCCTACAACAGTCTGGTGTTGATGGTGGGGATGGCGACGCTGTGGTTGATGTTTCTGCTGTTGAGGACCAACGAGAGACCATCACGCTCCAGAGGCACAGGGCATCAAGACAAGGGGCGTGGCACAGACAGGTGGGACATGATCATGTACTCCATGTGACAGCACTCAGTTCACGCCCCACAGTAATATCAAATCGTAGATTTCATGTTTACATATGAATAGGTTTATCGCGTATATTTCTTTGCAAAATATCGAGAAAAAGAATAAGGTTAAATATCTGCTATTATTTATGTAATAATTGATTTCATCCTTTTAAAAGGTCATCAACTATATAATAAGAATTGAAGAAAAAGGAATTTTATGATATTTCACAAGATGCCAAAGCAGATCAATGTTCATGATATCACTCACTGAATGTATGTATGTATGTAACCGTCCCTTGACAACGTAGACGTTGCCTATGATACCCAGTTGTGACTGTCTGGCCCAGCCGATTATTGACGTACATGCATTGCAGATGGATAGTGATGTGCGGTAACGACCGGTTGCTAAGGGATGGTAGCCACGAAGACAGCTGGAAGGTTCTGATTGTTGTGGATGACAATGTATCCATACCGGCTTGCAACAGGTAAGTGCACGCTAAGTTTGATGAGTAATTTAAAATAAATTCAAAATAATTAAACTCAGAGCCTGTTTCTGCAGGAAAAGTTACAAATATAGATAATGCTGTAAAATAGCGAGATATGCTTCATCAAGCCATTGATATGTATTATTTGACCAGCTGTGGGAACACCTAGTGGATAAGACGATCGCCTGTAATCCCCAAAGCCTGGGTTCGATTCCCAGATGGGTGCAATGTATGGAACAAATTTCTGGTGTCCTCTACCGTGATATAGCAAGAATATTGCTAAAATAGACACACATGCACACACGCACACACGCACACACACACGCACACACGCACGCACACACACACACACACACACACACACACACACACACACACACACACAAAACAACAATACTCAGTTGCTTGTACTTTATTGAAATATAGGATTCGGTTATCTTGTGTCTGAATCTCGGATTTGCCTTCATTATACTCTGTGCCACATATTTGTCAACTCACAATTGTTTTCATTTACTCGCTGTAATGATGGTGTTAACCATCGGGGTGAGTGTGTATGTTTGACGCCGCATTTAGCAACATTTCGGCATTATCACGGCGAACGCTTTAACCACTAAGCTACCCCATCGCTCCATATTAACCACCAGAAGTTTTCTTTCTTCCGCAGAAAACCATCTTGTTTCACAGTTAGCCTTGGTGATCCAGCTGCTCAAAAATATGACGTTATCAAGGTAATTGACGACCATAAACTCCGACAGAGGGCTCTGGCATTCTTAACTGTTATCTCGCGAGGTGCTGACGTCATCTATGACCGATGCGCCGCTTACAGCCCGGAAGACACTGCTCAGGGTTATTTCCTCCACCATCCTACCCATGGCATTGTCTATGCCGACAGACAGGGTTACTTAGATAGACATGCGCTGTTTCAAAGTACGAACACAAATTATGCAAAACGAGGGCTATTACGATATTGTGCTCAAGACAATTTGGCGCCTTTGATTCAACAGAAGGTAGGGCCCGTTTTACCCGGAAATCTGAATCCTCAAAAGTCAGCACACCTGCAATCACTTAGACAGGTATACAACAGACTCCCCACTGTCTTCCTACCCAACCATGTGTACACAGAATTAGATGATGTCCCCACGTTATACCACGAAGAAGGGTTCTGGTCCATAGTGATGCTGTTCCTGCCATCCGGCTTTGGGGTGGGGCAGGCGTTGTCACAGAGGCTGCTGTGGGAGGTTGGAGGAGTTGTAGGGCTCATCCCCAAATGGGACAGCCATCAACAGTTCCTAAATCGGACAACGAACACACCCCGAGTCATTAAACCATTGCTGAAGGATGTTATGGGTCCATGGGACTGTAAGACTAACAGTACCATGTTCCAGTGTGTACGAGAGCTTAGCGGGTACCTGCTGGACCACAATGTGATGATGACAGAAGACAGAGAACTGATCCAAGTCTGGCTAGCGGATCTGGAAGTCGCAGGGTACAAGGAACCTAAGAGATATAATCATGAATTCCATTGTCAGAGCACGTTGATCGCGACCTCTGGGTTGATTAGACCCGTTTTGATTTCAGCAATACAGCCTCCCGCCTCTGACCTGTCTACTGTGATGAAGCCTCAATGTCCTCAACTCAAGTATTCATCATCACCTGCACCAGTCATCACCGATATTGCTCTCATCATCACTTTCAACTCGGAAAAGTTTTATGACAATCTTCCTCTCTTGGAAGCAATTCACAGACGATACTTTGCTCACATCATTTACTGTGGTCCAAGACAGGACAGGTTCAAGTCCAAACTTGTTGCATCTGTTGCCTTGTCGAATATTCTATTTATAGAAGGCATCAAGGAAGGATGGTATTTTATGTGGGAGTGTCTGACCTTGACCTCCAAGTTTAACCTTAACGTCAGAGGTTACCTACAGATCGGGGACGACACTCTCTTGAACTCGTGGAATATCGCGGACCTACCACGTGACCGGATATGGGTTGTGCATCACGGGCAGTTATTCCGTCGGGATGAAGAAACAAAAAGATGGGTGTGGTGGAAACATGTCTCGGGTCAGAAGGCGGTTAACCGTGCTCTAGACACGATAGTCAGAATAAACAGCAAGGAACCGGGGAATACACACGTGAGCAACTTCTTGAAAACATATTCTGCCAACGTTGGGGACATAGATCACGTGTATCAAGCGTCATCTGACCTGGTGTATATTCCGTCCAAGATGGCCGACCAGTTCAGGTATTTGGCAGCCATCTTTCGTCGGGAGAGAGTAATTGTGGAACTGACATATCCGACTCTTGTACATGGCCTAGCGCCCAGTGCTGACATCTATGTGATCCAAGGGGAAATACTCTGGGGTGCAAAACGACGACAGTATGCGAAAATATATAATGAAAATTTGTTCTCGCTTCACCCATACAAACTATCACATGCACTTAACTCGACAGAGGGTCGTGCTTTTCTATGTGGAGTATATATGCCTCTTCAACAGGAATATCTAGAGTTGCTAAGTGACCAAACCAACTACAGGAAGTAATCATTACAGAATATATTGTACAAATGATTGTGCCTTATGCTATGATCAGGTTTGTCACAATAATAAAACGTTTTAAATGCACGATTCTTATTTTGTACTGTTACACGGTAACACAACGATGATGAAAGATTTTCAACAATGCCTTTAATTGTTACGGTATTACTGTCTAGCTAACAGTGATCACAACAAGGGCGTGACAGATGCTAGGACTGCTTCCCAGGCGTTGACCAGATTTAACCAGAGATTTTCTTCAGACTTCTCTTCTGGGCTGCTCTGCTGATCTAGTCTGGTGGTCTTGTATGCTGTCTTGTCTGGTGGTCTTGTCTGCTCTGTTGGTCTTGTCTGTCCTGCTGGTTTTGTCCTGGTCAGCGTTCAGCGCCCTCCTGTGCCTCTCTGCTGACTTCGCTGACGGTGCTATTTACACAGGAGTTTCTCAACTCTGTAATGGGCTGTGACCCCGACCATGAACGTGTGATACGAGCCACATTTCAGCCGGTCACAGCTGTCAAACAAGAACTGTTGCTTTTATAACCTCAAAGCAAGCAGTTGACTAATTCACCTGACAGCACTGTCAATAATTGTTTGCCCATATAAGTGAGGCCATCAAATCTTTGTTTGGTAATCGTCAGAAGCTCGTGGCCAGCAACTGACCGAATCCTGACCTCCATGAGAAATTTGTGTGACAGTCCACACCGCCTCCGACTGTCAAATAGTATTACAGTACTTCCAGAACATATCCGTTCATTTGCTCAATTGTTTATATTCTATCATACGAAAGAAATTACCGGTTGATAATGTTAATTTCAAAATGTCTATACTGCCCCTCCATATCATGTAGATGTGCCTTTTGGGGGGTTTGAACTTTTCTTTCAATTTTATTTTTTTCTGTTTCAACAATTATTGATCATATTTATGAGAGAGATACAGCATACCGAAGATCTGGGGTTGTTCCATACTACTACAGTTTCCATGATATCACCTATCTTGTTCTTGTATAGATTCCAGTGAAAACATTACATCCATAACTGCATGTGATAAAATTGGATTTTGATTTCAGCATTTGTTGAAACTTTATTGACCAAAGACAACTGAAAAACAACATATTCATCCATGAATTTCGAAATAGAATCATTTAGAATTCTGAATGTTTTGTAAAATATAACTTTGGAATTGTTGATTTGTTGATAAGCAATTAAGTTCAATTGAAAATAAAAGTATTAAATGAAGACTTAACAAACATAATAACATACTACCAATAATATGTATTTTCATACTTAGAGATTTTGAAATTGAAGGAATCAAATAAATTGTTTGAGATCTCAACGTTGAATTGGAGGAAGGGGGGGAGACGTCTGTTTTTACGAGTAAAAAACTTTCTAGTTACAATATGAAAATCATTGTGGATTCTGTTGAAGCATATGCCCAAGAAGGCCCAAAATGTGTAAAATGTCTTTCAGAGTGTGTAGAGTCAGTAGGTGGTGTTGTTATTGGTAGATTGCACAAACTAAAAAAGAGGAACAGAAATGGAATAAAGTCATTCTTTCCCAGCCAGCTGTCAACCAAAGTATGGCTGCCCTGCATGAAATGTTTGTTGTAATTCCCACTGACAAGGAGTCAAAATCATCATTAAATAAACTGTTTCTACTTTTGTACTGGATTCCAAAGCTATATAAAAATCAGTACAAAAAGAGATTCCTACCAGGGTCCAGCAAATGTGCCACCAAATCCCTGTCTCAAAGATTACCGAAGAGCGACGTTTTGGTGTTGACTAACTTCATAACAGTATAAGAACCTACACCGAAACGTCGCTCTCACTTACATAAAGAAGTGGTTCATCCATATATTGATATCCTTTTCGATATTCACAGAAAGTATTTGAAAAAAGCGGGATTGCTACCATGTGGATTCTCAAAAAGTAAACAATTAAAGCAACTGTCATTTGATCTTTAAAGGAAACAATATGTGACATGCTGGACTTTATCAATGATAATATCTTTGTAAAATGTTTGGGTAAAACATTACGACAGTAGTAGGCATCCCCATGACCACCAATTGTGCCCCCTGCGGATCTGTTTCTTTATGCATAAGAGTTAGAATTTCTGTATGGGTGGGCAAAATCAAAAACAAGGTAATATGGCCAAGAAGTTTAGCTTGAGCTTCAGGTGTATCGATGATCTAAAATCCCTCAATAACCATCAAATAGCCATTGCCTTCCGTTGATCTACACACCTGAACTTGAAATTAAGGAGACAAGGGAGACTGCCTCAACTGTGTCTTGTTTAGATTCGGGTGACAAAAAGATAAAAAAAATACCTTTTGGTGTTTACATTTTTCAAATTTGGAGGTACAATCGAGCGCGCTCTATTTACCACTATTTTAGATAGCGTCATACCTTGTAACCTATTTTATATTTGGGATTACAAATTCTAGTACTTTTTGAGTTGAGCCCCATCCGGGATTCGAACCCACACCCTCAGAGTAAGGCACCTAATCGCCAGCACACAAAGTCAGCCGCCTAACCCGCTCAGCTACCGCGACTTCCACAAAAAAAAGGAAGTTGGACAACTGGTTATCTAGACTGCGGACTTTGTGTACCCCTCTGATAAGTGGTAATTGGCACGGCTCCCACGGCCGAAAGCTATGAAATACACAATGCCATTTTAGAAAGTGGTCAAATGTAACGTATGTTATATTTGGGATTACACTTATCAGAGGGGTACACTTACTTCAATTACTCCAGACAACACAATTTCAAGGTATACCTCTGTGAATTTGGTTGTGTAATTAAATATACGAAGACACTTCCAACAATAATAGTCATAGGACGGGACTTACTTCAACCTGTTCAATGTACATGTATTATACGTATTACACCATTTTCCAAATGCAACCTTGTCACGGTGCCGTTACATTCGTTTCCCTGATTTGACTGACCGGCGAAAAACAACACAACTTCAATGGCTGTTGAAACATGTGCTTTAGTCCCGTCTTCTAACTCTACAGTGGTGAGAGTTCGCCAGGGGGCGCAACTCATGACAGACTGTTTCTGACAGGAAGATGTAACGTTAATACACAACAGGTACGACTATGTACCGTGTAGCTATGTTGTTTCACGCCGCACTCAGCAATATTCCGGCTATGCATCGTGTAATGGTGTACAGCCACCTACCTATAACATATATCTTCAATAATATTTTGCATGACTGCCCTTCCTCTAATAATAACTACTCCGACTAATAATATACTAAGCAGCAAAAAAAACGTCAGTTTGGAATTTTCCTTCGCAGAAACGGATAACTATAAACTCATGTAATGGTTTGATTGTATATTTTTGACAACATCTCCAACTTCACCTCAGCAAAGACATTCCTTCCCAAACTCAGAATGGAACCCAGGAAATGGTCTCAAAAACGCAACTTCATCTCGGAGATGGTACCATGTTCTCCATGTTTTTCATGCACCTCGTGCTGCACGTGCTGTTCACAAGGACCAGCCCTACAAAATGCACCCCCAAACCTGGTTGAAACATTCACATTACAACGTCAGCAGGATGCCGCGACTCACGACAGCTCAGAGGAACCAGGCGCTAGGAAGACTTGAAGCTGACCACACAAGCCGTTGCCAATCACTTCCAGGTCAACGTTCGCTACAGGCTGCAGCAAAGTTTCCGGGCAACCAACACCACACATGATCGCCCCCGTACTGGCAGACCAAGGGTGACCACAAGACGACAAGACCGCCATGTTGTGCGACAGCATGTACAGAATCCCTTCATGCTGGCATCCGAAACAGCACGCCAGACAGTGGGAACACACGGAAGACCAATCAGTACTGATACAGTACGCCGACGTCTTAACAGCGGGAACCTCCATTGCCGTAGACCTTGCCGTGGACCTATCCCCACCCCTCGTCATCGGTGTGAACGCCTACAGTTTGCCCTACAACACCAAAACTGGCGATACAGGCAATGGAGAACTGTTCTGTTCACAGATGAGAGTCGGTACTGTTCCAAGAATATGGCGACGTTACTCAGACCAATGTGCTAGGGAAAGAGACTCATGGGGAGGTGCAAGCATCATGGTATGGGGTGGAACAGGCCTGAACCAGAGAGTGGGTCCTGTGGTGTCCAGAACCTTGGTCCAGGGGGAGGAGGCGGCATCACAGCGGTGCGCTACATCGACCAAGTTCTCAGATCCCAAGTCATACCACATTTCGCATGTCACCGGAACAACATTTTCCAGCATGATAACGCCCGGGCCCATACTGCCAGAGCTACACGGGACTTCCTACAGCACAACGGTGTCAACATTATGCAGTGGCCAGCCTTTATTCCTGATTTAAACCCTTCATAAATCGATTGGTGCGCTCCATGCATAGACGCTGTGCTGTAGTTATTGCCGCTCGTGATGGTCACACTAGATACTAAAGTCAAGAGTCTGAATGGACTGCAAACGTTTACGTAATGTCTTGAAATTCTGCTGAGTTATTACTTAATGTGTCATGATATTGTACACAAAAAATTTTTTGATCCGCTTATTGTGTAATTTTGTGTAATGATTTGATTACAGTGCCTTTCAATTTTGAATTCGTACTGTTGCTGAGTATAGTAATAATCGTAGTTGATTGGACTAAACGTAGTTGATTGGACTAAACAAGACATCCAGAGTCTTCAACGCCTGACCAGAAGGATCATGTCTGATAACAGAGCCCACCACCCTCGTTCCTCTCTCAATCGTTTATATATGCCAATCAGTTCGGGAGGTCGGGGTTTGATTAATGTGGTGAGGTGAGGTGAAATTGTGTTTAACGTCGTGCTTGAGATTATTTCGCTCATATGACGACGTGCATGCGCGTGTATGTGTATGTGCGGCTGTTTGTACTAGCCCAGACTGAAGCTGGTGTTATGGTGCTAGCCCACTGAGATACCATGCCGCAGTGAAGCATGAATACCCCTCTCAGGCACATTATACTGACTTCGAGCCGACCAGTCCTTGTTGTAC